AAAAAAAAAAAAAAAAAAAAAATAGAAAATTCTAATTGGGCATTCCAAAAATTATATAAATATTATTAATTGAATATATTTATGGTAAAACTAACACGTGTGATTGTAGCGCTGTATTAAGCTTCTATTTCGCGATCACAGCGTTTGGGCTTGAAGCATTGTGGTTATTAATGAGAAAAAGTATTATTAAAAAGCCACATTGCTTCGACTTCCCAACATCCACTGAGGTCGCGTTGTTGGGAATGTATACTTTCTCTTGTGGGAAGAATTTTGCTATTATAGGCGCATGTATCGGATATTTATGAACAGAATATTGTATTTGTACCATGTATATATTTATATATTTGTACAACATTAATACCTTTCATCACACAATATTTCGATTGCCAGTCGTATCTACTATTGCAAAAGTTGCTTTCAAATGCATTAACTATGTTTATGCTCGCAACTTTTACAATTGTTATACCTGACAATTCAAACAGACCTAACTATTTATTGATCTAGTTTATATCCGCGTATGTGAATGTCCACATAATCGCATCGTTTAATCTCTTAAAAAGTAGAAAAGGAAATATCCAATTACTTAAAGTTAGTGATCCCAAACTTTGTAACTTGCTAAACAGAAAAAAGCAATCGTAAGTTTGAAATAAAGTTATTTTTCTACGAAACTAGGAAAATGATATTTTTCCCTGAATAGTTTTTGCTGTCAGTGAAGCAGTAGATTTAAAAAATTGTCAAATTTTTTCATAAAAATCTTTTTAAATTTTATCAATATCAATGATTGCACAATTATTTTTAACTTTATTTAGGCGGTATAACAAAGATATTTCTATTTGTAGTAATAAAAAGTGAATTAGATTTTTTTTCTTTTTGATAGATCTTTTTTTCACATAAAAGTTTTTCTTTTTTTTATTAATCGTACAATTATTAAAAATATATAATATAAATAATATTGTATGATTACTTTAAAATTTGGAAATTCAAGGAAATATATATTTAGTTTATATATACATACATACATATATATATATATATAAACTGCTCTTGATAAAATGCTTTTTTATGCAAACTATAATGACAATAAATAATAGAAATATTAATAGTTTAAATAAGAATAGAAAGAAATATTTATTCTATCCCGTAACTTTTTCATTCTAAGCTCTAATAACAGCTTTGATTAATTTAGTATAACCAATATTCTGAGTTACAAGAAGGGGTCCTGTTATTTGATCTAATTGGCTATGATTTATATATTTAGAAAATAATATTTATATATATATTTTTTTATCTATTTATATATATTCATAAATACTTCATTTTCCTTCAAATACGACTAGGAGTTTTCTTCTACTATGTTTTTTATGTATATGCACAATTGGTTATTTTCACCCTCGGGAAATCAGCACGTTCCGGTCAAATGGACAGCGACCCTGATTACAAGTTGACCATACTTTTATTCTTATTGCTTTGCACATTGAGTTTGCACTGAATATGTGAACAAGTTTGGGAGAAAATTAATTAGAAAGGGAGAGGTAGACGTTAAAGGGCAGAATTAGAATCCCATAGCAACAAAGCACGACCTAGCAATATATAGGTCACCTTCCTTACTGACTACCAACAGAAGATGCCGGTATTTTACTCACTGCTGAGTGATTGTCGATGAAGAAGGCATCCCCTACGTGCTGGCGCGAGCTTCATTCAGGTATTATCCAATTTATATATTCATAATTCATTTTATACCGATATTATTATTATCATTCTTTGTTTAAACACTATGTATCGGAAAGACAATATTAGGGATTATTTTAGATTTGCTAAATATTAGTACCTGGGACACAACGCATTCAATCGACAGGTCGGGGCGGATGGCACCACTCGTTCGTAAATATTTTTTTAATACGTTTTCCATCTTTTTTTTTTTTTTTCAAATGCACATCAGCCATTATCGAAGATATGTGAACCATCATTATCTGTGAAAAAAATTATTATAATTTTTTTTCTTTTCTTTTCTTTTCTTTTTCTTTTTTTCTTTTTTTTTTCTTTTTTTTTTTTTTTTTTTTTTTTTTTATTCTTTAAGACAATATTTTTATACCTTCTGCATTTAAAGTTTATCCTGCACTTAACAGAATTATTCAACATTCGCGTTTAAGAAAGGAGAGTTAAAATTATCTTACATCCTTTTGCATGCACAGTGAATTGATTCAGAATCATAATTCACGTTTTTTCACTTTCAAGTGGCATCCTAAGTCGTCGTATTTCCATCTGGGGAATCTGTCAATAAACAGCATTCGCTGGGAACTAAGAGGAGCTCATTTAATCCAAATGAAGAAACTGAGTTTATATACATCCTCCGTTACTTTTATATCAACAAGCCATCCTAATTCTTTCAAATCCTCGAAATTTCACATATTCCCAACTATCTTTTCCATATAAAAAAAGAATGGTTCTTAGGATGTATAACACTAGACTGTTGACATAGCGGCACTATGATTTTTGAATATGAACGGTGTAACAACAGCTGGTGAACGACACCATCATTGCTTCATGTAAATAGATCCCATTGTCGTTGTAGGAGGAAGAGCGGAAGAAGCGAGAGGAGCTTGAGAGGATCTTGGAGGAGAACAACAGAAAGATAGAAGAAGCTCAGAAGAAACTGGTATGTCTTTCAAGAATTAAATCCTGGACAATTTGCATGATTAACAAATGTTTATTTCGATAAGGCTGAGGAAAGATTGGCTATGGTCGAACAACAACGTTTGATGGAAGAAGAAAGGCAAAGAATGAGAAAAGAACATGAAAAACGTGTTAAAGAGGAACAAAAGAAAATCCTCGGGAAGAACAACTCGAGGCCTAAATTGTCCTTTACACTAAAGCCAGTTACGTGAGTCTGTATCATTTCGTGCAGTTTTATATGTGATATTTATACATCTTGTCGGATTTGGAATCATTCATATTCCGCAAGAACATTCAACATATGCTGCGCGTACATGAGTACATAAAAGATGCAGCAATAAGATCCAAAGCTCATTCAGAATGTATTTGCGATAATCATCGAAATCTGGCAATGTTGAATTTTTTTATTTGATTATGATGATCATATGTACATCAGAATTAAATAATTAATTCTATACTTGACAGATTTCGAAACCCAATACAGGTGGGATTTTACCTGTTCGAGACTACACTGATGTCAATACAGAGAAACATATGTTTTGTGCAGGAATGTAATAGAGCAACTATTTGTATTTATCTGTTATGTTATACATTTTTTTATATTGTAATAATAAAAAAATATTCTGTACAAATTTGCTTGATCTGTTTGACAGAAGTGTGGTCTAGCCTAGTTTGGTGTGTTCTACAAATTGCAAATGCAGTTTATATAATGCTGTTTCTCTGTAACTATATTATACAAAAAATACTTTTATTTCAGTTAGATATATTAATGAAAAATGAATCGTATTTAATGCATTCGCATTTTCAAGCTCGATGACCCAAATAGATTTTGTAATTAAACACAAGTGTATACATGAATTTTCTACGAGAATAGAACTATTGTGCATCTGTAATACATAATATAAAAATCAATTTCGAAAAAATAGTAACAGGAGAGCTAATTTTTTTAGTACGTTAAATCGAGATCTTAATGAATTGTGCATACGTCTAGAATTTAATACAGAGTTCATTCTGTCGATGAAGAAAAAAAAAAAAATAGAGTAAAAATGTTCTTTTCTAATCAAAATTAAAATAAGAATACTGATTAAAAAAAAAAATAATACGTTGACTGGATCATAAATTTGTACACAAGTATGAATGCAACTATGAACATATATTTCTTGTACGCATTCGTGTATAAATGTATTGATATAACAAAAAAATCATTCGTTCATAAAGGATTGTATACCTAAAACATTGTTACTTATGAAATAAATACGTTTTTATTAAATCTTTTTATTTTATATTTCATGTTTTATAATCGATTTCGAACCGAATTTTTGGAAAATACAGCTTTACCACGAATTCCAAGACTTACTCCTTTTCCTAAAACATTTCTGTAAAACGGATTGCGTTGTTTGTAAATGCATTCGAATTTACCACGAGCAGCTTTCTTATTTTTACGACGATCTAAAACCACTTTTAAAAAATAATCATAATTGTTTTTTAAAATAAATTTTCTCTATATTTTTAAGAAAATTTGAAAAAAATTTTGATTGGCTACCTTTCATCGTATCTTCTATTATTTCTGGATAAAGTTTTTCAGTAACACTGCTACTTGGAGGATGCAATCTTGGATTTGTATTGATTTCAATTAACCAGACTGATAGATCATCCATTATTAAGAAATCAGCACCGTATAATTGAAAGCTATTTTTTCGATTGACCATATTTTCTTGAGACGCCAGAAGTGCCCCAATTAAATTTTGTTTTATACCCGGTTTAATGAGCTTTTCCCACGCTGATTCGCGATCTGTGGCTCTGAGAAGATAAACCATTTGAATAATTGCTCGAGATTTATCTTAAAAGTGATATAAAATGCATACTTCAAGTATTCTTTGAAGTTATGAAGATTCCAATGAAGTTCGTTAGGTATTAGTGCACCCTCATTTACTGTTTTTCTGTATTTCAATTGCACAGTTGTATTGCATAAATGAATCGATTCATGGAAATTATTGAGTGTAAAATTTTTCGATGCAAAACGAACCAGAATATCCCTTCAAAACAAATGAATTTTCGATAAAGAAATATTCAAGAAGAAAAAATATTCAAAGGAAGAGAAAAATCGATACTTGTACATCCAGACTGTAAGAGGTTGCGTACTGGTAATCAAAAACCATTGCCTAATATCAACTTTCGTTCTATGTACAAGTAATGGTCGTTCTAAAAATAATAGACAATGTTAATAATTTATTATTAACATCTTTCTGATGTGGTTACATTTACCTATGTACTTTTGCACAACATATTGCATACATTCCTTGGAAGCTTGATTTATCTTGGCCAAAATTTCCGATAATGAATTCTTAAGAATTATACCTTTGCCCAAACTTTTATCACCCGGTTTTATAATCCAGATATTCCTCATTCCATCGATTTGAGTCTGGGGACGACATTGCATCATTCTTTTCATCGTGTTTGATGTGTATCGTAAAAGTTCCTGATAAATAATACATAATATAATCTACCAATTCAATCTGTTTTTTATATTAATTATATACTTCAATATTTATTTCATTTTTCTTCTGCAATACTGCACGTCTCTGCAAAATTCGTTTGTACCACGATAAAAATTCATTCCAATCAGGAATCGGTATGTCTTTATTATCCTTTCCGTCAATATCCTCGTGTGCACAGACACTGTAATTTATTTAAAATTTATTATTATTTTTTATAGAAAATATTTTAAATTTTTAGTTTATTTTTTAAAACCTTATATATTCACTGCATCGTTCAAGAGCGAATAAAATTGCTTTCATAGGAATAGTCCCGTCTTCGGACCAAACGGCATTTGGTCCAACAATGCTGGCATAGAATAAAAACCACTTAAGAATTCCCATGCTAGCCGTGATGTAAAAATCTTGAATGAATTCCTCTATCTGTGCAGGCTGAATACGTGCAAGATATTTTAATTACTATCATGATGCAGAAGAGTTGCATACAAACCTGATAAACATTGTAGCATCGTGGAAATTGTACGTTTGATACGTCAGCTTCATAAAACCAAGAAATATTCTCTAAATTATTGCACATATCGACCTGAAATAATTTTAACGTAAGTTCTAAAATTGAAAAAAAAAGAAAAAGAAAAAAAGGAAAAAAATAATGGAAATTTGGTATAAGCAACTTTTGACGTAAAATAACATCCAGTAAATTTGTTGACTATGGTTCTCTCTTCTGTTCTAATAGATGCTCTCTTATTGGAATACCATATAAAATTTGGAGGACATCTCAACAATTTTTCGACTGTTTCTAAACCAGCTGAAATATGAAAAATATATATATTTTCCCTTTTGTCGAAAAATGGAATGAGTTTCTGTCAATAACCTTCGGAAATTTCCGGAGACATTGAGAGCATTTTTCTGATAAATTTTTTCTCTATCCAACCTCTCTGTCCTAGAGGCTTTCTTATCGGTGGAAATATACCATAAATCACGAAAATTTTATGTTCGTTTACAGCTTTTGATAAAATTTTTAAGATAAAATTGATCTTTGCATTTTCACTGTTAAGAAGTCTCATATATTCCCTCAAAATAATCTTTCCGTAAGTATTCTCATTTTCTTTTTCCTCGTCCATAAGTAAATCATCGAGATCATCGCGATTGCAAAGAATCTCGGCATTCGCAGTTTTTATAGGCTTTATATTTGTAACCATTATGGGATCGGAAACTTTTTTTAAAATTAATTTTGATTCTTCCTCAATTTCCTTTGGATCTTTTGGATATATCTTACAAAAAATGTTGCGAAATATTTTTATATATACTATTTTTTAATACTCGTAGAAGATATTCTGTTGCTTTTTTAACTCAATTCTTTCGTACCTGCCAACCTTGACAGTGTTTTTTAATTGTGCAATCCGCGGAGATTAACATAATTTGCCATTTTCGTGTCACTACAGTTTTTATATTATTCGAGATTTCCAATTTATGCTTTGTATTTTCTGATATTTTATTTTGAATATTTGAAAATCCATGGTTAGAATCTGTAATCAAGATATTATTTCTATTTTCTTGGTCATTAGCTTCAAAAAAAATTATACAATTCTTCGTTTGCCGCATTGTACAATCTTTTTATTAACAAAAAATTTTCATTTTTTAACATGTTTTATTCATGTCTCTATTTTCACACTTTAATTTACATTATAAAAATTTTTGATAAAAAATTGAAACCATTGTGACAGTATTGACAATCGATAAATAAATTTCGATATTGTTCTATATTCACGATAAGAAAATATTTTTTAAACTTTTCTGAATTGTTTCTTCCAATTTTCTTCCCATGAATGTGTACACGATCTATATTTTTTTATAGCTTCATGCATAGATTCGTTCAATAATTTCTCTACTTCCGGCTTCTTGAAAATTGGTTTCTTTATTTCGATTTTAATTCCATAATTATTCATAACTTTCTTTGGTTTCTTAATTTGCGCTTCCTCTCTCGTCAATTTCGTTAAATCGATCTCCGCAATTTTATTCTCAGGCTTGATGTTATATGCTTTCATCTCCAATTGCTTTTTATATGCTTTTTGTTGTGCTTCTTGTAAATTCATTTCACGAATTATATCTTGTACAGATTTTAACAAAAGTTTGTTCTTCATGATTCTATTTTCGATACTTTTTTTCCTCTTGAAAGTAATATCATCTTTTATGATATACATGGAATCGTAGGTTCTCTTAGTACCACGAAGAATACTTTTTTTTTGATCTATAAAATAAACGATACAGATTTTTTATTGTTTTAAAAAAGAAAAGAAAAATTAAATTTTCATAAAATTCTACCTGAATACACATTCCTATTGTTATTATTTATCGTAAATTGTTGAAAGAACATTTCATTCTTCATTATTATTTGATTGTTATGTTTCTTAGGGAATCGCGATGTATAGAGTTTCATGTTTGTAGTGTGACACTTTTTATTTTTCAGATCAGTTTTTTCTTTCAAACAATTTTTCTTTTTCAATCGTACGGCTTTTGTGAAATATTTTTCATTTTCTTTACGCATAGATCGTTTCTTCGTACAAAATTTTGGATTTGGATCCGAGTGAATGTACAACTTTTGATCAAATGTTACTTTTGGTAAAGTGACTACTTTATTATCTGATTTTAAAATTTTATCGTTATTCAGATTTAGGTTCTCAGAATTCGTTTGAAATGTTTCTACACATGGCGTTTTTCTCGATTCATCAAGCTCACTCTCCGAATCGGTACAAGTATCAGATAAATAAAATGATATAGATTTTTCATTTAACGGAGGTTGAACATTGTTCGTAGGCTGCCAAAAGAGCATAAATTTAATTAATGAAATGTAAAAATTATTCTTTATAAAATATCATACCAAAGATTTGCGTTTAGATTGTCGGAAAAATGTGCATTCAAAATTATCTTCATCGACACGATTGATATTTTTATCGTCATTCAAAGTGTTCTTCACGGATACAGTATCTCCAGAATTCCAAGATAAGTCGGCGCACTCCATTCCACGTGACAAGTATGGACAGATAGAACATATATCGTTTAATTTGTTTACAATTTAGCATTAAATTTAAAAAAAAATTGGAAAATGATGGCCTCCATTTGTCTGATAGTTTCACTTATAATTTTGCTTTATTTTTTAAGTTGCCATTGATGTTGGTTAATTTATAAGCATATGTCAAAACATGATTTTTCAATTAAATATAATCGATTTGATTTTGTTTCGATATTTTATGCAAAGAGTGAAAAATCGAAAAATTATAACGGTTGATAGTATAGTTTTTTTTTATTGATCATTTACAAATACAGTTCAAATATAGAACTTAGAAAACAACAGTGATCGCAAGTAACAAGTGCAGCTTATGCAGATTAACTATCAATTAGTTAATCTTAAACCAACGGCATACATATCCGTAATGTCAGACAAAATTTTATTTTTATTTTGATGTGAACTTTTTTTTGAAACATTATTATTTTTATTTTTTATAACTGGTTGATTAACTTTGTTCGTTGTTGTTAAAACAGATGGTAACGTCTGTGGTTCCGGAGGAATGACAGACGTAGTATTTTTTTTGTACTTTTTAATGACATCTTGTACGGCAGTTTTAATCTAATAAGAATGAGAAAAAATCTTTTATTATTAAACATAAATATATATGTGAACATATAACATAAATGTATAAATAATCCTGTAAAATTAATTCTACCTTATCATTATTTTGTTTCAAAGGTTTTTCAATTTTTTGGCTCGATTTTGTTTTTTGATTCGAAGTTTGTTTGTGAAAAGCCATAACTTTAGAAACCAACGATTGCTTCACAGGAGATTCCACTTTATTGCTAAGGGTCCCAGCGAAAGTATGCGATTTTTTCGACAAACGTGATATGTGTTTTTGATTTGCAATTTTTTCCTAATAATTCTTTTCTTAATAATTAAAATAATTTCTCAACTAAATTTCATTATTATAATACGTACTTGTGTCAAGATGGGAAATTTTGCTTTAGTATTAGAAGTCGGTCGAACCACAGGTGCACTTTTCATAGTCGATTCCTGCTTATCAATTAACACAGTTGTTATTAAAGATTTCGGACGTATACTCATAGGTAGTGCTTGTCTTAATTTGGGCGAATCCATTTTATAATAAGCATAAAATTCCTGATCAAGTTGTATTTCTAATTCTTCGATCAAATCAACAATTACTGGACCAATTTGATTATGTGTAATTGATTTTTTCTTTGTCAAACAAGTCTAAAATTATTTGTGTATAAAAACAAATTAATTAAATTAGCATTTAACAAGCTGAATTTAAGAATTGCAAATTGTTTCTAAGTTTCGGATAGCATATCGATGTGCAATATCGATTAAAAAGTTATTTATCAAATTTAGAGAGAAAAAAATTTAAATTTTCTTTGAACCTACCATCGGGGACTTTGAAACAAGACTAACTTTTGAATCTTCATTGTTTGCCGAAGTGGATTTCTTTCCAGTGGTTATTCTAGTTCCTTGAAGAGACAACGCTGCACCTAAATACGGTTGACAACTGGACATTCTTTGTTTGTAAGCTAATTCGAATTCTCCCGTACTCGCATTCTTGTCTTCACGGTAATCTATCACAACTATAAAAATTCATGAGGAATAAGAGAAACGCCAAAAGAGTCTAGTTTTGATAGAGATAAATTTAACGCTTCTACGATACCTTTTATGGTATCTTCTAAAACTTGCTTGCACAACCGTGTCGTAACTTTACTCGAGTAACTCATATCAGGATGACTATTGATTTCGATTAACCAGACAGAAAAATCATCCATAACCATAAAGTCTGCGCCATAAAGTTCAAAACTATTTTTTCGACGATCCATGGCCTCTTGACTGGCTAATAGAGAACCGACTAAACCTTGCTTCATCCCAGGATAAATTATATCATCCCACGCTTTGTCGTGTCCCTGAGATCTGTTGGAGTTTTGTTAATAGTAAATTTCGATCTGATCTCGAATAATTATGATTCATCATACTTGAGAAATTCTTTGAAGGTCGTAGCATCCCACATATTATCTGAAGGCAACGCAGGATTTCTATCGCCGCAATTTGTGTACTTGCATTGAATCGCGTGATTGCACAAATGAATCGACTCGTGGAAGTCCGTCAGACTGAATTTCTGGGAGCAGAATCGTAGATAACTTTCTCTGAAAACAGAAGATATTGCATTGCTACCATTGTGTTGATCGTATGAATTGCACGCCATATATATCACAAGTACAATAATAGGACAAGCATTTACGCAAACTGGGTTAGAGAAGATCAATTTTACAAGGGGTGAACTCATAATAACCGATAATTTACCGGTGGGTAGTTTGTTCGAAAGTAGCGAATTACAATTTTAAATATACAATGAAAAGTAGCTTCTTTCTGGATTGTAAGTTATTTCAATTGATAATTGCGATGGATACGCAACAATTAAACGATAGAAGCACGAGATAACGTGACACGAAAGAGAAATTGTTTCGAGTTAAATATATATGTATTTGTACAACTGTAATGTGCGCCAATTATATCTGAAAATATTACCTGTATATCCACAGAGTTAGAGGCTGGGAGCAAGTAATGATAAACCACTGTCTGATATCAAATTTAGTATTATGTATCAATAATGGTCGTTCTATATAAAACAAATAAATATGATTTATTTAAAAATATATTTATAATAAAATATATTAAAGTCTGTATCGATTACCAATATATTTCTGTATGACATAACGAGTATCTGATTTAGTCGATGGATTCATTTTCGCCATAACATCTTCTAGTTTATTTAAGAGAACGATTCCTCGGCCTCGACTTTTATTTCCCGGTTTCATAATCCACACGTTCATTATACCATCCATGTCGATTTGTGGCCAATATTTCTTCATCTTCTTTAGAATATGCTTCGACGCCAGGAAGAATTTCTGTTCACACCGTGCTAAATTAATATAGTTCCCATGACGTTACTTGTCAGCAATACAATCGAAATTATATTGCTTACTTGAAATGGAACATTGTTTCGAATGAAGAGAGATTGACCGTGAACGATTTGATAGTACCAGCTGATAAATTGGTCCCATTGATGCGCCCAAATCCTTTCGACTTCTTGATCGATATCTTCGTGCGATTGTGCGCTAATGTAATCACTGCCTCGTTTAATCGCGAATTCTAATGCCTTCAAAGGTACAGTGCCAGTTGGTGATCTAACTGCATTTTCACCTTCAATATTTATCTTGTTAACTAACCATTTTAATAAATTTAAACATGCCGTGAATCTATAAGAAATAAAAAAGAAAGATAGAAATCAAAATGTTAAAAAATAATAATCTGAAAAAATTTTTATCCAAATAATAATATTATTTCACCGAAAATCTTCTATGAAAGCGTGCATCTGATCCCCTTGGCATAAATTATAGCAACGTGGAAAAAGGGTGTTCGCCACTCCAGCTTCGTAATACCAGTGCATTTGTCTGACGTTCGAGCATAAGCCCACCTAAGGCAATCGATTTTCTTACAAGCATATATTATCCTTCTTTAAGGAGTGCCTCACATGACTAAAAGAAATTAACTAAAGTCACTTGAGATACCTTCGAGGTAAATCCTGCTCGATAATATCTGTTAAAAATCGTCGTTTTGTTATCTTGTGCTGGCCAACCGGGCCATTCCGATCCGGTATTCCAGAGAAAGTCCACAGTATGATTAGTTAACATTTTGGAAATTAACAGGCGTTCACTTTGTTGATCCTTCAGGTCCCCAATGCCAGCTAGAAGTACTATAGGACTTGCATCCGCGTTATAATGTTGGTCGCCTAAGAAAATTAATTTATACAATACCAAAAATAGAATATAGAACTTGGAAAATGCGCAAAATAATTTGAAAATACCAGCGCTATTCTTTCTATAGAATTTTTCACACCATCCTCGTTTTAACATGCATTCACGAATCACTCGAGCTCTTCCATAAACCATAAATGTATGGTGTGCAGCTATAGCATCTTTTACCATTTGTTTAATTCTCATAAATCGTTCGTGTAAAGTTGGTGGAATTTCTGAGATTGGATGAATTTTTTCTATATGACACAATCAATGTTAAAGTATATATTAGTGAGTATAAGTTATAAGAAATATATTTTAAAGTACACCTTGAATTTCTGTTACATCACCCATTGGTTTTGTGTTGGGATCAATGGAATCCTCATGTTCTTCATTTTTGTCCGCTTTATTCGTGCTAATCGGCTCCAAATTCGATGCTGCCTCATCGTTCGCTTTCATGTAACGCACTTGCAAATCTGTATGTTTTTCTGCACTTTTTTGCTCTTTAATTTCACTTCATTGCAGTAAGATTTGTTTTAAAAAGGATGAGCCCGAGGACGTCAACGTTACTTTATCCTAGATCAATTTGTAATATTCGATATCAGTTTTCGAAACAGTAATGCATATATTTTTTTATGATAATAAAATGTGGCGTTAACATCTTGTACATTCGAATTAGATTTCTTTCAATACCTGTTGAATCTTCGACATCTCATCAACATTCTTTGATTCAAATTAGTTTTAATTTCTAATATAACAAATAATTGTTGTTTTAAATCTAAATTATTTAATAAAAGAATAACCTCGATATTGTATGATTAAAGACGACATTCTTTGAATAGATATGAATTTAAGTTACAATAGAGAATCAATGAAACGAAAGCAAAACTCCGACTGAACGTCATCGACGACACGAGATATGTGTTCAGAATCTAGAATTTCGTAAGCGTGCGCTCTGGAAGCGTTTTAAACCACCCCAACTATTCGGCGGATTGGATAAGATTGCATGATCACGTCATTTTCGTGTTTCGTAAGTTATGTTACAAGATTCGTGAATGTTGATCAATTGTCTGATAAGAATGACCACTCGAGGTTCAAAGGTCATGGATACATTTAATCATTTTGTTCCAAATTTTATCGCTAAATCAAGATTACTTAATGTGAAAATTGTAATCTTAAAAACATTGAATTTATTCGCAATGAAATTTAAATATTTATATAATATAAACATTTATTTTTTGTATAATATAATTTATCTGAAATTTCTACGTAACAGGTTATGTAATTGAATTTTAAAGTGGATAAAAACGATCAGAAAGAGTAGGAAAGAATTGTTGAAAGAGGAGGAGCGTACCAGGCACCCCTGCAGAACTACATGATCACCAAATGCAGGTAAAGAAGCAAAAGCTATCGCGTGGATTGCCCTAACCATTCCTGTTCTACAAACTCTGACCCACTTATTCAAACGCATCTTGATTCACGTGAAGAGGCGACCTGATGAATCACTTCGACCTGCTATCGCTAATTGTTAGAGTTCAATTTCACGCTGATAATTTGATAAAATATATGCATCATTTAGTATTTTAGAATTCGGACGATGCTTATGCGCTTTTGTTATCGGTTTTCCGATTAGATCACATGTAATAAGAGTAACATCAAAGACGTATTGCCTAGAAGATAATGAGTTTCTTGTTGGAATCATGAATTTATATGATAAATGCGAAAATACAAATAAAAAGTCTGCTATTCTTCCATGGTTCATTCCATTTTTTTGTATTATTGATTTAGACATTTATTAATTTCTTACCATTAAATATAGTGCGATATATGTTGTGGGAAATCATAGAATACAGCTGTACGACTGCATTCGTAGAGGAAAGGGTATAGTTATATGTTGGTGCAATTCTTACTGGAATATTGAAAAAGGTACAAAATACAAACTTGAAAAAAAACGAATGATAAGGGATAAACATATAACTGTCAATGATAGAAACTATTTGAAAGTAGTAAAGAATGAAGTTGCCGAGTTTTTTATTTTTAAAACTCATCAATTCAGCAACTCAAAAATTATTAATATTGATAATATTAATGATAATGTATTATAATAATATCGAAAATATAAATAATTAATATATATGTTAGCAGGAAGTGAAAATAATAATAAAAATTTGATAATATTAATATATATAATGATATATAATGGATCGAAGAATAGAGGAATTGTATCAATACTTATCAACCGATATGAAAAATAGTTCTAACCTATACGTTAAAAATAAATTAATTATATATAGGATTAGGATAAATATCTTCCAATTTGTCTTAAAATAAATAAATAATAGATCCAATGATAGATTTTAATATTTTAAATAATAGATAAATGTAAATATCAAGACTTAACTCAAAATAAAGTCATTCCACAAAATACTGTTTTAAAGATTTTCTTTTCTAACATTTATCCATGAAGCAGACAATCACACAATTTCTTTTAATTATAGAGGGCGCATTAAAATCTATAATGTTTTGCTCAATCGGTATTTCAGAACATAAGATATAAATTCTTATCGCATCTTATGGTTCGTCCAGTGTTTTATATTTCGTTTATGGTAAAAGACATATATCGCGTTAAATATGACTCAATTAATAAAAAATTCTATTCTCTTATTATTCACGGAAGAATGTTTAGATGAATATTTTGACGACTTGAATTTTTTTCACGGTAAGCATCTAAATCTCTAATTGATTAATGATTTCATTGATTGATATTAAAATAAATTTATTTCTATACATAATCCATGCATTGTTATTCTAATGTCATATCACGTGAACATTATGAATATAAAATTTCAAATAGAAAAATTAGTATTTAGAAATAAAAAAAATATAATTAATTATTAAAGCTTTTATTCTATTTACTATAATTTATTTTATTAATTTTTTTAGTTTTTTATTATGTATAAATCTAAACTTAAATATAATAGATTCATTATATTTTATTTTTTTATTTGTTATGCTTTTATGTTCTATTTTTTTATTTTTTCAATCTTAAAAATCAAATTTCAATTTTTACATATTATTAAATAACAAATACTTTGTAAAATTATATGAATTAAACGATAAAATAAAATTGAACAATCGAACTTTGAAACTATTTATAACGAGAGCTCGATGATGTTCAATTTTTTTCCAACGATATATTATTATTTCTTTATAACGATTAAAATTACTTTTTTACAAAATTTAAAATGAGTTTTTTTCAAAAAAGATATGGACCGCTTCAAGTAAAACTTGAAAATTTTGAACATGTTTCAGTTGGGTGTTTTAAATCGACGCTGAGCAAAGTTTTAGGCCTTGGCATTATTAGTGGATCTCTTCTTGGTTAGAAACTTTATTTTTAAATAACCTTTGTGATTCAATAATTTTTAGACTTTGGACTATTAATTTGTGGAATAATTGTATTATATAAATAATAACAAATAAAAATAACTAAAAATATGATATTAGGTTATTTATATTACTTTTTTTTTTTATTTTAGTTAAAATACCACAAATTGTAAAAATTCTCAGAAACAAAAGTGCAGAAGGTATTAATGTTTTTAGTGTATTATTGGATTTATTTGCCATCACTGCAATGGTATCTTACAGTTTTATAAGTGGTTTTCCATTTAGGTAATATAGTTTAGAATATAAATAATATTTGTTTTATATATTATAATTAATGAATGAATAAATATGTTTCAGTTCATGGGGTGATGGAGTTTTTTTAGGGTTACAAACATTAGCAATTGCTGTTTTAGTTATACATTTCAATGGTAATACAACACAAGCAACTGCATTCCTTATCTGTTATTTAGCAATATTACTTGCTATTATCAGTGAATTGACTCCAGTTAATTTTCTTTGGACTTGTCAAGCGTTAAATATACCTATTGTATTAATTAGTAAGGTATGATATTTAAAAATATATATTATATATATAAATTTATTAAAGATTTAAAATTTCACGTGGGTTTTCAGTTAATCCAAGCTTATACAAATTATACTAATGGAAATACAGGTCAATTATCAGCAGCGACAGGTTTCTTGTTATTCTTTGGATCTCTTGCTAGAATATTTACTTCTATTGAAGAAACAGGAGATATGACAATGATAATAATGTATATATGTTCCACTACTGCAAATGCTATAATAGCTGCTCAAATTTTATATTATTGGAATATGGATACAAATAGCAAGAGTATAACAAAGAAGGATCAATAAATAAATTAATAAAATTTGTTGTACTTTAAAAATAATGCAACGAAATGAAATGTATAAATGAATGAATATAAATCAAACAAATTTTCTTATATTCGTAATACAAGATTTATATTTTAAATATTATTGTTTATAAATTTATTTAAAATGATAAGTTATGATCTTAAATTTTTTTATAAATTATGGTGTCTTAAAAAATATTGAAATAAAAATAATATGGAAATCATATTTGTTATTATTTATTAAAAGAAAGTTTTTAAATTTAATACGAAACATATAATAAAATATTCAATAAATATAATAAATTCAAACATATAATAATATAATATTCAATTAAAAACAATCAAATCCTTTTGATAAACTTTAAATTTTACTAACAGAAAGTTGTACGATTTTAAATTGAGCGCCAAACCGGAAATGGTGTATAATTGGCTCTGAAAAAAGAGAAAGGGAAAAGCGATTTACGCAGGCGTTACTGAGTCTGTCGTTTCCGGCTTTGTTGTAATCGTGACTTGTGCAGCGTATGGTGAAATATATCCGCGCAGTTGTTTAATCGTCGATAATGTTACGTAGTTGGCCGTGATATAGTTGGAAAACACATTAACAAATCGTCGGAAGATAATAAGGGAGCAACGGTGAGTAATAATCCGGGTTCTTTTTTGGCCAATCTGACATGCCCATGAAAAAAATGGGCGTGGATAAGTTTTGGAATAAAAGAGGGCCATTTGGAGCGTCATGGCGTCATCAGCCTTCGCAATCCGGCTTCCTGACGACCATCTTGTTATCGATAAATCAATATAACGCGCCTTTCCTACTATGTAAGCGTTTTCCTTGAGCAAACGAATATTCTACAGATTTATTCTGTTACGTCATTAATACAATTCGCCAGAGGAATATCAGCAACTACAGGTAAATTGTTCAGGGAACCGGTTTTTGGTAATTCGCTTTGTCTGAGCTCGTTCTTGCGCAGAATGCCATTCCCTTTTGGAGATACGATTTACGGTTGATGAAACCATACGTTTTTTACTGCTAGCATTCGACCAATCCTTAGATGATTGCAATACCAGAATTTTCTGGATATGACCGTGGAGAGCGGTTTATCAGTTACAAACACGTGTCCTTGGCTGTTGGATGATGTCTTTTTTGCATGCCAATTTCGGGCAGTCGGTCAGAGGCAGCTATTAAAAATTTTGTCCATATTGAATAATATCTTGGATATTGAAGAAAAAAAAGAAAACATTACGAATTCGCCGATTTTCATAGTATTGCAGGACTAGGTTGCTTGCAGTACTGAATCAAAATGGAATCAATGGATGCGCGCCTTGTGGCGCAAGCATTGAACTACCATGGTCAACAGTTGCAGAAAGTGTGGGAAGGAGAACGCAACGAGAATGAGCTGGCCATGCTCAATCTCAAGGAACCAAATTTTGAGATCTATCAACAACGTCAAAAGACTTTGAGGTATGTATTTGATAATGATCTTAAGTAATATAATTAAATATTTTTAAATACGATAGATTTCAAATTTTTTATTTCTTTTTTAATAGTTTTGGTGATAGAGGAAAAAGGCTAAAGCTACAGCAGTTCTTAGCAAAGAAAGCAGATGCCCTTTATGATAAATCAAATTTGGAGAAAACAGTTGAACCTATTAAGCAAGAATTAGGAGATGAAGGTAAAATTTCCCTCTATATTATTATTAGAATATTCCTCTATATTATTATGCATTATGTAATGTGTAATTAATCTATTATATGTATTGTTACAGAATTTTATGCAACAATGCCAGGCCTTGATACTTTTGTCACCATGGAAAAATCTCAACGTATTCGCAATTTTTTGGAGGTTATTATTTATTATTTTTATATTTTATACTAAAATAAATAATAAATATGATTAGTAAATTATAAAAAAATATTTTTATTTAGAGTTTGGTCATTGGAGATGTTATATACGCGCAAGTGATGGGTAAAAGTGCTGCTGGGCTTCTTCTGAAGGTGCTTTGCAACTGCAGCGATTGCCCCAGAGTTGTTACCGATTTAGGAGTTAAGGTATATTAAATTTTTCATATTTATAATTTGTCTATATTCTTTTCAATTATTTATTAATATAATATTTGATATAATAGGCTCTAATATTGAACACGGCCACAGTGCCGGCAGTGGACAAGAAAGGTGTAACAAGAGGCTACATGGCAAATGATCTCATCTGCGTCGTAGTCAGTGAAGTTAACGTTGAAGCCGAGCGAGTTGTTGCAGTTATGAACGTACCTGCCCGTGAAGGGCAAGCACCACACCCACCTATGGGACTTATCCATTCTGATGATCTTCCAGAAGCTTATAAGTAAGTAATAAGAAATCTGGATAAGTACATTTACTCCTTGTATTTATAATAATGCTTCACTAACTCTTGTAAACTGATATGTATATCACTATAGGAGATTTTATATACACAATGTAAATGGTAAAAGTGTCTTGTGATGCATCAGTAGCACTTTTGATTCAAAATTTTTATTTGAATTATGAATC